TACCAGACTGGCACCTCCATTGAAAAGCTTGCCAATATGTACATGGAGAAGATAGTCAAATTACATGGAGTCCCTGTGTCTATTGTGTCAGATAGAGATACCAGATTTTTATCTCATTTCTGGACAAGCTTGCAGCAGGCACTTGGTACTCAGTTAAATTTCAGCACGGCCTTTCATCCTCAAACTGATGGGCAATCTGAGAGAACTATTCAGATACTTGAGGACATGTTGAGGGCTTGTGTTCTAGATTGGAAAGGTTCGTGGGATCAACACTTACCCATGGCTGAATTTGCATATAATAATAGTTATCAGTCCAGCATCCGCATGGCACCGTTTGAGGCTTTGTATGGTCGAAGGTGTAGATCACCTGTTTGTTGGACGGAAGTGAGTGAAATGAGCATTTTAGGCCCAGAATTGGTGCAGCAATCTTCTGAGATTGTGCAGTTGATCAAGGAATGCCTTTGTGCTGCACAAAGCAGACAGAAAAGCTATACGAATAGAAGGAGATGAGACCTTGAGTTTGAAGTTGGTGACCAGGTATTTTTGAAGGTGTCACCCACTCGAGGTGTCACCCACTCGAGGTGTCACCCACTTGAGGTGTCCTCAAGTTTGGCATCCGGGGAAAATTGAGTCCGAGGTATATTGGACCATATCCCATCTTGGAAAGGATTGGTGAGGTAGCTTATAAATTGGAGTTGCCCGGAAATCTAGCGGGTGTTCATGATGTGTTTCATGTGTCCTTACTTAGGAAGTATGCCCTCGACCCGAGTCACATCATTAATCCTGAACCAATTCAACTTCGGGAGGATCTTACTTATGACGAGCACCCGATCCGCATTTTAGATTTCAAGGAGAGGATAATGCGGAGAAGGACCATTCGTTTTGTTAAGGTCCTCTGGGACAACTATTCGGTTGAAGAAGCTACTTGGGAGTTGGAATCCAAGATGAGGCAGGAACATCTGCACCTCTTCCAAGATTGAGGTATGAGTTTAGGGCACTAAACTCCTTTTTAAGAGGGGTGGATGTAATACCCCAAAAATTTCAAGAATATTAAGTTGAGTTAGGGACTTAATGGTGAGGAAACATTATTAATGGACCTAACCATCAATTTTTCAAACTTTAAAGGGGTTAAAAAGTTAATGGATAAGGCCGGCTGACTCATTCCCTTTTTCTTTTTCTTTTTTCCTTCTTTCTTCCCAGCCATTTTCGTGTCTGCTCTGTTTTCTTTCTCCCTTCAGCCGAAGTGAACCCAGCCATTTC